CGTGGGGCTCAGTGGCGGAGCCAGGCTGCCAGGACGAGCCACATCGGCCACCGCCTTGGTGGCCACGGATGCCGCCGTCACACCGGGTGGGGGGACGGGGCAGCGCTGGGCACAGACGCTGGGGCCGACCTGCCGGTGGCATTTCTGCAATGGAAAGGCTGGGATGTGGCGAAGATCTGGTGGCAAAAAGGCTTTTTGGAGCAATTTGGGTTATTTCTGCCGTGTCCGGTCGGGTGGTTTCTGTTTCGGGGACGTGAGTCGGCTTCCTCCTCTCCCGGCTGCACTGCACCGCAAACCCAGCCACGCCGCGGAGACGCTCGGCTTCGGTCTCCTGGGGTTAAAAGGAAGTGAATCCACGAGGCTTGGCAACAAGCTTGGCTTTTTCCTTTTTTTCCCCCAAACCTGCGAGGGAGGAGCAGCTCCTCTGGGAGTCCCAGGCTCGGGCGGTTCCTGGAGCGAAGGACCCCTGTGCCAGCCCCGCTCTGCCCCGTCCTGGCCCCCGCAGCGCTCGGCTCCGGCGGGAAGCTGCTTTTAAAGCCCCTTCCTCTCGTGTGGACTCTGTTGTTTCCGTCTCTTATCGTTAAATGGTTATTTTGTAATGATATCTGTCTCCTTATTAAAGAAACGAGCTGAAAGGAGCCCCGGTTCCCTTCTGGTCTTGCTGTTGGGGCTCAGCGGGGCGTCCGCGGTGGGGGGGAGGTCCCCAGGGCTGTGAGCCCAGGGACAATGGAGGGATGGAAACACGAGGGGAACCCCACGAGGGCCCAGGTCCCCCCGAAACACGGGTGTGCTCACACGCATGGTGGGAATGTCTCCAGGCAGCCTTGAGCCCTGGTGCCCTGGCTGATCGTGGCTGGCCCAGGCGTGGGGTGCGGATGGGAAGATATCAAAGGTCCCCACCAAATTCTTCATCCCCAAGACATACAGTTTGGTCCATATATTGTTTAGGTCCTGCCCTGCTTCGCAGAGGTGCTGGATGCCCCTGAGCCCACGGGGAAGAGCTCAAGCTGCAGTAACCACCTCCGAAGACGGAAATGTGCAGAGATTTCTAGCAACCTCACTTGGGACAAAGGCTCCAAGACGTGGCACCAGCGCCCACGTCTTTGCTATGGGTTTGTCCTGACCAAGCTCCTGACCAAGCCAGTACAGGGCTCGGCATCATGGGGGGAGACGGGCCTGAACCCCGTTGTGGTTCAGAGACACCAGATGGGACCCGCTCCCATTCGCCTTCCCGGCTGGTGGGTGGCTTTCAGGGACGTGCATCCACAGTGCCTTCGTTTGAGCTTTCCCTGAACAGGCACGCAGGGGAGCGTTGCCTTTCCCGTGTTGTAACTGCAGCAGGTACGTAGCTGCAGAGCACTTGTGCTTTTATAGACGATTGACACTGTCGTGCTACGGAAATTTTGGGAGAAACAGGGCATTTTAGGCTAAACAACTTGCAGCTCCAGAAAGATGGAAGCAAAGTCAAAGCTTCTATTTTATCAACTCTTATTTTATTCATTTATAAATACTGTTGTGTTTACAAGCATCATAGATGTGAATATTATTCCCAAACTTTCAAACACATAATACTTATAATACTATATAACAACAACCAGTAAAACAAATCATTCATCTCAGGGTTTGAAAGGCCACTCAAAAGTTGCATAAAAATACATTCTCTCCCCATCTCGTAAGCTAGTCCTGCTTCTCCAAGGAGTTTATTTACAAAGAGCCATCATCAAACTCGCAGCCACAATAGGCGGGTTCACCCCAAGCAATAAAAATGAATTCACCCCAAGCAATTGCTTAGAAAAAAAAGCTTGTGTTCTCCAATGGAGATCACGTCTGGCAAATGCTCTGGTTCAAATAGGGATCAGTTTTAAAAACTGCTTGCTTTGCACTCTGTCCCAAGCGCAGGGTGCAAGGTGTCCTATCGGTTACCTCCTCAGTGCACTGGTTATGTCAGGCATTAAGTGAGACCAAAAGAATTCATTCTCGAGAATTTGGTTTGCAGTTGCATCGTCATCATGAAATACTCACAGCTTTGGCTAGTCAGCAAGACTAAACTGTTGGTGGGTCCTCTACCCCGGTCAGAGTTCAGGGGGATAATCCAGTGCTAAGCAGACACTTCATCTAAAGTGGTTTGGCTTTGCAAGGTGCCACGCAGAGGAATTAAGCCTTCCGCACCCTTTGCATACTGTTCCTTAGGATAAAACGCAGTGAGTGTCCTGGTAGGAAAGGGCAAAACGTCAGCGCAGGATGGATTTGTCAGATTGGGTTGAACCCTCTCCCTAAAACAGATACCAGGCTTCTTCACGCTGCCAGGAACCTGCCTTGTGAGAAGAACAGGATCTTTAGTCTGAAATCTCATCCCTCATCCTGCTGGGATGTACGACCCGAGACGCACACGTTGGCACGCCAGCGCTGCGCCAACCACCAGCAGCCCCAGCAGGTGAGTATCTTCTTCTCCGCGTGGCACAGAAGGGACTGGACTCCTGTTCAGAGCTGAGAGAGCCCAAGTCTGAAGCGAGGAGTGGGTCACCAAGAGAAAAAACACCAAGAACTGCAGAAGTACTCACATAAAGAGTGCACCAAGTGGGAACAGCGTGCAGAAGCATTGACCGGATCTCAAGACTTAAAGCTGTTAAATATAGCAGGATTAAAATAAAGTAATATAAAAAGGATGCCTGGCTTAGGCAGTGCTCTGCAGCAACCCTGATGCCATTACCCGCTTTGGTCTCTTCCTCCCCAAAGCACAGCAGCAGAGGAAGGGCCTCAGTGTACCAGGAGAAACGGCATCTCATGCCGTGCACAAACAGCTCCGCTGGCTGAAGAGCGGTGGAAGAGGAACCTCCGTCTAGAGCTGCCTGGGGAAAAGCCGGCAGCTCTAAGAAGAGCTAGAGAGGTGGAAACAGGCAGGACGGGGAGGGGAAAAAATGGAGAATTAGGAAAAAAAAAACACCCAAAGAAAAAAAGCCAAGGAAGAGGAAAATACACACGCTTTCTGAAGCAATAACCAGCAAAAGGTTCCAAAAAGCCCAGGATTGACTGATAGAGATAAATTTTACCCTGTTGAGCAAGCTCAAGACTTATGCTCATGTTCAAGTATCTCATCTATCTCTCTCATAGTGGAAAGAGTCCCACCAGCCCGGCAGGAGCCACGAGCCCACAATCAGCAGAGGTGCCTGGGAACGTAGGTAGAACTTCTTCATGGCAACCTCCAAGTTCAGTGACTGAGACTGCAACTCTCAGCCAGACGGAGCAGGGAAATCAAAGGACAAAGGAAATGAAAGGACAAATATGGAAGGATGTAGATGGGAAAGTGGTTTGGATACAGCAAGAAGTCTCTGAAAGGGAAGGTATCGTTTGAAAGGAGTCTATTAAGGGGAAGCTCAACAGATCTGATGACAGGTTATTGCTGCTATCATCAAAATCACACAGCACGTGGAGGAGCCACTGTCTAAATGCCCATAGAGAGAACAATCTGAAACTGTTCTGAGTACGTATAACATTAAAGAGGGGTTTTTTTGAGGTTTCCTTCAAGGTCAAGGCTTATTGACAGATTAAAAGACTTTCATCGTAGCAATACAGTTACCAGCACGCCCAAGGGTAGCTCCTTGTCCCTCTGACACCAATGCACCCAGACCTTTCCAAGGCATGCGGGAGGACAAGTGATCACCGCTTCATGCTCCTCTGCCTTGAAACCCAGCTGCATCAAGCTTCTTCACCAACAGATGGGTGGGTGGGACTGGACTCTGGCATTCCCTCTCTCTACAAACAAACCAGTGCTGCCTTTCACTTGGTCAGCCTCCTGCTGCAAATCAAAGCAAGGTGCCTGAAATACCTGACCAGACTCCTCTACAGGGCTCTGCCTTCATGAAGATAGCAGGAAAATGTTCCAGACATGTTAGGACGGGGAGGCTGGTTTCTGGTGTGGACCCAGCTCCCTGCAAAGTGATTCACGCTCATATGCTTGTGAAAGCAGCAGAGGATCTCTAGGGGTTCAAGCCTGTCCTTCAGGAAGCTTGGCAAGTATCTGCGATACATCCTATCCTGAGGAGCAAGAGTCCAGATGCAATTAGCAGACGCTACCAACTGCTGAGACAGGAGCCCTGGAAGGATACAACGTGATACCAAATCACCCAGGCTGCGGAGGAAAGGCAGGGTGAGGGATCTGATGCCGAGAGTCAGCGCTGATGTTACTGAACAGGTTCGAAATCTTATATTAAATAAAAGACTTGGTCTACTGGGGCGAAAGGAGAAGGTCTCTGTGCAAAGCAACTGTCGTCAGCCTGTTACAGAAATCAGCCCTGGTGGCTTTCACAGCATCACATTTTAACCAGAGTCCCACATCTTGGGTGGGTTGATGTGCACCCTCAGAGTCCCAGCCCATGTTCACATTTCCCACCTGTAAAGGGCTTGGATGTGCTGGATTAGTTCTTTAGGCGTCACTTTTTAAAGTAGGAGCTACCTACTCCAGATCGGAGTCCAACACCAAATACTGGGCTTCTGGAGGAAGAAGTTTTGGCAGCTCAAACCCAGTCCTCGCGTTTCTCTTCTCCCTTGAATAAAATGTCCGAGATACCACAACATGCTTAAATTAAAAATAATAAAATGGCAGGGGTGTGTGTTGTGGGGGAAATAAGGGCAGAAAGGGAATGTACAGCAAAGGGCAGGGCAAGGCAGGTGTGACAGATTGATCCCATGGCTGAAATGCTTGCTGTACTTTTGACAGGAGGAAAAGAGGGGGGTAGGGCTTGGTGGCGGGGTTGGCAGCTCGTGTAGGGCACCCCTCTTCATCCTGCCTTTGCTCAGGCTTCCTATTTGGAGAGCTTGCTGATGACACGAATGAGGGCTCCATTCTCGTCCTTCAGCCTTTGGTTGTCCGACTTCAGCTCTGTCAAAATCTGCAGAGAGACAAAGACAAGGTGGGATTACAACTCGGCACTGCCGGCTGGACAAGCCCTACGGCTCAGAGGGAACAGCAGGGACGTGGCATCCTTGCAGCCAGGGTGGCAGCTGGATGCTTGGCTTGTGTCCTTCTCACCACTGATGTGCCACAGCAGCGTGCAGAGCTTTCCTTACTGTAAGCCCTCCACCCAGCGCACTTTTAATGTCAATAACCTCTCCGTAACACCTCCAGGATTTTTACAAACTGGGCATCAGGAGCGGAGGGGTCGAGACGGGACTTGAGCACAGCAAAGAGCCAGGGAGCCCCCGGAGCTGGGAAAGCCCATGGTCAGAAGCGATGCCATGGCCCCAGCACTAGGTCGGGACCAGGCTGGGAGGGCAGGAAACATTTCTGAGCTGTTTCATCCCAAACCTGTTCCCAGAGGCTATACAGGGCTCAGCAGAAAACCATAAAGCTGTTTTTTTCTGATTTGTTTGTTCCACGTTGCCAGGACTAGAGGGGAAAACAAAGGTTTGAAATTCTAACTCAGGACTGGACCAAGCCTGGCTTGCAAAATTTCTTTAGAATAAAACCAAATCTCTTTAGGATCTCATAGATGTTTAAGGCAAATGCGCATGCCATGGCCAGAGGACTGGTAGAACATACTGACACTGGAGACACCTCCTTGGTGCTCAATTTTGAATGCTGGAGCTCAACCAAGGGTCACAACACAGAAGCCAGAGAGCTTTTAGTTGGAAATAGAGGAAGAAATAGCTTCGACAAGACCTTCCCAGCATTTCTCATTGGCAAAAAGCCCTCCCGACTCCCCTTGCTTCCCACGCTGCAGGCGGGTGACCTTCAGTGGACTGTCCCCAGCTGTTCAGGGACGGGAAGGAGACCCCGCGCTGCCCGTCTCGGGGTGTGACACAGAAGGTGTAACTCGCACCACGGGTGCCAGCAGCCCTGAGGGTGACCAGCCCCAGAGCCTGCTGGAAGAAGCCAGGGTGGAGCAGGGTCACACGCAGGCAAACGGCACCGGTATGAGCTCAGTGATGACTTCTCTCTGCCAAGGTGGATCTTAGAGGAATTCCCCCAAATTCAAAATCCCCACTAAACCTTCTCCTTCCTCCTAAGCTGGAGCTTCAGCTCTGACCACAACCTCCTGCCTGTCCCTCTCATCTGCAGCCCCTCCACAACCACTGCCACCGAGCGCAGGCAGCTCCCGGGGCAGATGCCAGCTCCCACCACTCCTGCTGGAGCAATTCCCTCCTTTCACAGTCAGGCCAAGCCGTGCCTGGCCCCAACGTGCCCAACCCCGTCCCCGCTGGCGCTGGTGGTGGATGCTCCAGACAGGACGTTTTGCAAGAGAGAGAGGAGGGGGGAAAGTGCAGCATGGCGGGATACTGGGGAAAGGGTAAAACTATGTGATGGGCTGGCTGGAGCTTCAGCTAGTGCTGCTTAAAAGTGTCTCACTGGACCCAGTGGTGGTGCGACAGGGACATCTCCATGACAGGGCTGTCACCAGAACCGCAGTCATGACTCCTTATGCAATTTCTCACGGCCAAATGAGAGGCATCACCCATCACCAAAGTGCTCAGGAGCCCAGAGAAACGGGAAGAGCGCTTGCTGTCTCACTCTGCACTCCTCTGTTTCCTCCTGAGCTTCGTCTAACACCCACAACACAGCACGGTGCCTTCCAGTCCAGTGCACTGCGACAGTTCAACCACCTATTGGGATCTGCAGATGGACAGTCCCTGTCCTCTCTATGTCACGTCTTGGGGTGGCCTTGCAGTCTTGAATGTGTCCATCACTGCAATAAGGTAGTGATATAAATTTCTGCCACCTGCTTTGGTAGAGATAATCCATCACAGGTTCCCAGAAGCAACATCAGAGAGCAACCATCCCGGTTCTACAGCTTACTGGAAGCTCTGATGGTGTCTATGCCTTACACATATGCTTCAATGCAACTTTGGTGATTTATTCAAAAAGGAAGGAGCATAAGTACACGTAAAGCAAGTGCTTCTTGAAAAGTTTCCCAGCCGTAACCCCACTCCATCAGTTTCCAGTGAAGCTTTCTGAAAACTAAAAATCAACCTTATAAAATTTAATTCCTCCCAGGCCAAGGGCATTCCTCCCTTCAAAGCAAAGCAGCCTCAAGTCAGGTAAAATAAACTGCACGTGGAGCAGGCTGGTAATGCAGGGGCCTGAAAACTGAAGCTTTATAAATGTCTCATTGGAAACGGTAAGGAGGGATGCAGCACAGCCCGCAGGGGACGGTGAGGCTGACCACGATGCAGCGTCGGCATAAAGTGAGTTTTGGGCTAGAGGCTGGTCTGAACAGCGGTGCTGTGTGTTACCTGTGACACCGGAGAAGGTAGCACTTCAGAAATTATGTGCATTTTGGAAAACGAGATTCTTTGAAAAGCACCACTGCTGCAAGAGCGTGGTAAATCTGTCAGAGTTTAAAACAGTGACATTACTGTATAGCTGTGATGTCTACAGACACTGGTGAGACAAGGTTTACAGGTACCAGCAACATCCTGTGTTAGACCTACTAAAAGAGCTGAAAAAAAAATCAGCGGAGCTTGCAGACACGCGGCTCTTCTCCAGCTTGGACACCAGCAGTGAATTGCAAACCTATAAGCAGTCCACCAATGTCTCAGCCAGCCTGCACGAGAGACAAGGCACGTCAGAGCAGACGGGTGTTAGCAGGGGGAAAGCAATAATGCGAGTATTTCCTAGGAGAGGAAGAGAGACTGGTGACTTACAGTTCGTGAAACATCATTTCCCTGAGTCTGGAAATAGTTTTGCTCAATTTTCCCTCTCAGATCTCAAAGCACGTTGGGAAGGAGAATGACTTAAACTCACCGCTTGTGAGAAGGAATGAGTCAGTGACAGGTTCGAGAACAGAAGATTTAAACCAGAAAGATGGTGAGATCATTTAATCTGACCATCTGCGCAATTCAGGCCACATAACACTGAACACCCCCTCTCCCAGGCCCTGTGATACACGCGTGGTCTTGAACTGAGACTCCCAGAAAGGGGAAGCCACAATTCCCCTGGTTAGTTTGTTTCTACTGTTAATCATCCTTGATATAATTTGTGTGCTAAGAATAGATTTTTTTATACCTTAGTGCCACTTCCAGCCCACGAGAGCATACTGCTTCTTCCTTTTTTTAAGAAAATAGCTATGTCTGAAGGGATGTGAATACCCCTACTAACCTGCAAAAGACAGGTAGGGCCATAAGAAAGAAGCATTTACAGCTTTATTTTAGCACTGAACCAATGAAGTAGCAAGAAAGGATGTAATTTAACTGCGTGATGTGCGAGGGCAAGGCTTACGGAAGGCTTGTCCTCGGATTTCAAACACTAATTGGTCTGCACGGAATTTAAAACAGAAGATGAAAGAAGAAAGCGCACCTGGTCCAGCTCCTATTGCTTCACCTGCCTTGTAGCCAGGCTGCAGGAGGCAGAGGGGACGCTGCAGCCTGTGAACTCAGACTCAAAAATCTGTTTAAAATGATGGAAGGAGCTTGTCCTCTTTGCTCAAGTGACCAAGAAAACCTGCTGAGGACTGCCCAGTTGTAGGTTTTCTAAAAATCACCTTCCTGCCTAAAATGTGCACTTTTCATAACATCCCTAGAAATTTGTTACATTGTTCATTCTGACTTTGGATAATCTTATTTGCTGGGTGCCAGCTTCTCACTGAACTAAGTCCAATTAGAAAAGAACTATATTATGAGCAGACACATAGCATAAACCACCTATTTCGAGGTAAGGTAATGGGGAAGGGGCTGCTGGCTAACCCATTGGCACCGACAAGCCAGCCCAAAGCCATTTGCCGGTGTGAAGCCACAGGGAAGCAGCTGATCCATCGCTCCTCAGCAGCCATCTCGGCGCCATCCACCCAGCCCTACGCCCGCGCGTCAAGGCGGGGAGCACGTCCTCCTATGTCTCTCCCAGACGATGGGCTCCACATGGACGAGGCAGCCCCCCCGATGCGGCCGGTTAGTAAAACGGCGAGGTCAGCATCATCTGCCAAGCAGAGCGAAAGTCAGCAGGACCGAACAGAGCCTCCAGCGAAAGAAACCCTGCCTTCAGCCGGGCAGTAACACCATGCTTTTGGCTTTCGGAGGATCCTTTGCCACATGCTGCTTTTGAGCCACAAGCTTCGTCAGACACCCTCGAGAGCAACGAGGCGAGGGGGAACAGCCCGGGCAAGGGAGCGGAGACCTGCCTGGAAGAGTGGAAGAGGGAGGCGAGATGAGCCGAAGGGAAAGCAGCTACAGCTCCTCTGATTCGGAGGGCTTGGCAGGCAGAGAAAGTCTGGCTACGACCCGGGTCAGAGCCCTGTTTTCAGCCAGCAGTTGCTCATTCATCTGCCTCAGAGTGTGAATCTGTTTGAGCTGGTGGAGATTCTGCAGAGAGTGAGAGGAGTGGACAGAAAAAGACAGAGAAAACACACCACGAAGACAAAAGGGCACAGAAATGTGAATTTAGTCCACAAGCAGTGAAAGAAAAAAAGAGAATAAAAGAAAAATTAGTAGCAGTGAGTGCTGGATGGGCAGCAGCTCAGATGCTGGGGGAAATGGGGAAAGCCTTACAACACACTGAGGATGTTTTGGGAACCATCCCTTTCTCCAGGGGCCCCCAAAGCCTTTAGAAAGGTCAAATAAAGGGATTTCCCACCACAAAGCAGGACAGTCTCTTGCAGGTTATATTCTAGTTTACCCAGACAGCGAGCTCCAGCAGCACACAGCCCCTGGACTTAGGAACTACTGTGAGAACTATCACCATTGACTTACCACCCACGCAGGCTTTGAAAACACTGCTGGCAACTGAGAATTTCTTTAAAACTCCTTTTCTTCATGGATCTCTAAAAGCTAAAGCAGTCTTGTGTAGCAAAGAGCGATCAGAGCTTCATGGGAGATTTTAAAGGCACAGACTGAAGCACCTGAAAGTGTCACTGTCCTACAGCTGACCACCGAGACACGTACCACGTCTACTTGCATCCCTCGTCCCTGCAGCACCTGAATGACGGCTCTTGGGTCTGCTCAGGCTTCAGTCCTGCCAAAAGGTCTGGGCTGTGTGTGGGTTTTTCATCCCCGCCCAGATTCAACTCTTCTCTGTCACGGGGCTCAATGTATCCCTGATCTCCAGAGGTGAAAAGTCAGAACCTTAAACCGCTGATTTTAACTAGATCACAGCATCTTACGCAGGAGGCACGTGCAAACATGGCATTCTTGGTTACAAAAGAAACAAAAAGAAGCAAAGGATGGTGTAGAAATCGAGCCCCAAAGCTGGGGCTAGCACAGGTATAGCGGCAACGGGGAGACACAGAACATAAAAGCAATGAGGAAGGCAAAACAGGAAAATGGTAAAAGCCATGCAGACATCACCATTTCTACAAGGACATTTTTCCCAGTGATGCTAAAGCGAAACCATGTGCTGGACATTTATACCAAGCGCGGGGGCCAGGACATGCTGAGGGATGCAGAGCTGCTTTCTGGGCAGCGTCCCGTCCCTCCTTCCTCCCGACAGCTCGGTGTGCAGCAGGGCCACGTGAATGAGAAACTCCTTCATGGTGGAAGGAGCACAGACACTGGGCAGGGGGAAGGCAGGAAGGGAAACATCTGCGAGAAGAGTAGTTTTAAGTTCAAGTGGAAAAAATCCCAGCCCAGAACCAAAGCAGCTTCTGTCCTGCCCGCAAACCAACATGCTCCTCCCGGTGTCCTCCTACTTGTGAGCTTGTGATGGCAGGGAGGAGACAGAGGGAAGGGTCTACTGGGAGGGGGATTCCCTTCTGCCATTTAATTAGCAGAAAGCGCTCAAAGGGAGGTCACTGTCTGTCCTTAACCAGAAGCAGCATGGGCAAATCTACTGCGATATGAAGAACTTGCATGAACTTCCACCCAACTCGCATGACGTGGAGCTGGCTGCAGTTGGCAAGGAACCTGCTGCATCCCAGGACATTTTGTCCAAGGGCTCATTCCTGTGTAAAAGAGAAGTATTTCGTGTAGCCCCCATCCATCAGCTTGATTCTAGTTACTCAAAAGCACTACCTCTGCTCCCCGTTAAGGAATCAAGATACCTCGTCCAAAATCCTTGCAAAACCAACAGAAGCAAGGCAGGTGAGTGCAGGGAGTCAGCAAAGGATGGGGTTTGAGCCCCCCGAGGACATCAAACTGACAAAGCAGCTCCTGCTACTTGGACTACGCCAACGCAATTCTGACACTGGAAAAATCAACAGGTCCTGAGACAGAGCTACAGCCAACAAACTGCAGGAGAACTTCAGGGACACCTCAGCAGTGAGATCCCCTCTCACCAAATCTCAGCCATTTATCCATCACTTAACCCATCCGAGCTGTGCTGGCTCCCCCTGTGCTCGGTGAGGACACAGATGGACATCACACATCTGTCCTGCGATACATCACACCCAGGAGCCGCCGGAGGATGGTTCATACTGGAAAAGCCATTTCTTTTGGTGGTGTCATGGATTATAAACATCCTCTGTTTTATCACAGGGAACACAGCTGAGCATCTGGCTGGCAGAAAACATCAAACATATGTAAAACAGGGTGCCATGCTACGCAGGATAGAAAGGATTGTGATCGTTTTAGAGACCACCTTTATTTTTCCATACCAATATAGCACGAAACCTCAGCATGGCACGATCAGATGCAGCTCAGCCTCAGCACGCTGCCACAGACGATAAAAAGGATCACTTATGTAAAAAAGTGTGTGTGCTGCCGGTAGGACAGCCTTCTATTTATCCAAGAAACCTAGCAAAGGCTGGGAAGCTGGGACTGAAGCCAAGGGCGAAGACCAGAATCTGGACGATACCGCTGTGATTGCTTATCACTCTGCTTGATACTTGGCTTACCGAAAGCAGGTTTCTTGGTTCAGCTGTACCTGTCTTCAATGAAAGGATTTTGTGCCTGCAACACTAGGGGAAATAAAAATGCCCCAAGCATGCACACTGTACAAAGCCAGGAGGTGCAGTGCTGCCACGGAATAAAGAAGCTTCTGTGACCTTCAAGAAAAATTGCTGTGTGAAGTTGGGACCTCAGGCACTTGGCATTGAATTCAGCTCAGTGCAAACGCTAATTTACTTTCTCCTTCCTCAGCCAAGTTGCTGGATCTCCAGTTAAATTCTGCAGTCACTTAGGAAAATGCTGCACTGCTCTGTCACCTGCACAACAGCAGGTCTGCAGGAGCAGCTCTGGCACCAAAGACTTCTTTGAGATCACCGAGTTTGTCCTGCTCCTCTCCATTTCTTGATTGCTTCGTTAGCAGTGGTTAAACTCATGAAAGGCACAAAGCTCGTTACCTCAAGCGTACCCTGAAGTACAAAGTATTTCGGTCACAGAAACCGAGGACCTTCCCGTGACCACTGCTGTGCCTCCTCTTCCTAAGAGGTCAGCTGCAAGAAGAGGAAAGCCCTGGCCAGGGCGTCTGATGCACAGAACTGGACACAGACACCCAAGGATCAAAAGCTAGATGTGAGCCATGCCGGACTGGTTCAATTCAAAGACCAGTGGAAAGAATCCCAAAATCCACAGTATTACTTGAGACCTAATAACCTGGCATGTTTGATTGTTTCCCCTTGCTGCTCTCCATGTTAAAGGAAACTGGTGGGTTTGCTTAAGTCGCTTATTCCTTCTGATTCTGCTCGACAGCTACTCAGCTAGCGCAAGAAGCAGGAATGAAAGTCTAACCAGAATTAATAGATTTGTTTTCCTGGCTCAACTTCCACACCAGGGATTAATACAGGTGCTCTGTGGAGGTTATCTCGTTCTAGGTAAACACAGCTGGGCTGACTCTCCCGCTTTAAGGCACGGTGTAAGTGGACATGAAAAGTGCTTTCCTTATGGACTTTGCCAGTTCAACTTTTTTATCTTCAGAGATTTTATACTCCTTTTATTGAGTGGCTGTCAAGAAAGACATGTCACAGTGCACACAGGTACTCACCACGTGCTCAAGTTTTTGCAAAAACTAGTGGAAATGTAGCAGAACCTCAGAAGAGATATTTTCAAATTTCATGTCTATTTATTCCACTAACAAAAGGCCACTTTGGTTGTTCAATGCAGCAAGAACGCAGCAGAGAGCAAAGAGTAAGTACCACTCTCGAGGACCTGATAGCTCATTTTCAGCTAGACCACAGGCTCCTTTAGCTCACATCTCCAGCAGTGACCAGCAGCTTCGGGGCAATATAAGAATATGTTGAACTTCTAGCAGCGTTTCTCCTTTTGCACCATCTTGGCTTCCATCAGTCTGCAGCTCCGGACTACCCGAACCAGGGGCGCTTTGGCTGCGTCCAACAGTTCCTACAGGCACCTTCTTTCATTAATTGCTTTCCGAACCAATATAAATGTTTCAAAACCGACAGGCCACTAGAGGACACCAATTTGGCTTTTTACTCCATGGACTGAGCTGGTTTGCAGAGTGATCCGCATAGCTGAAGAAACAACACAAACTGCTACTGTCTGCATTTTCTCTTGAAGGCTGTATTTCTGTAATTACAGGAAGGTCTTTCTGGAGTTAAAGGTTGCTACCTGTTCAGTGAACAAAGAATTTGGAATTTAGGCATTCAGTCCTTTCTCCTTCCCCTTCTGGCTAGCACATCCACACTTATTTTCTCCTCCATGAAAGAACAAGAGAGCCTTTACAGTAAGACTCCACCAAATCGTTCTGCTACTTATTGCAGTAGAAGATGCAGCACAAGCCAATGGCTCCTTTCAAAGACATACGCTCGGTAAATATATGAAGCTTCAAATAGAAACATAAAGTTGGAACCTCCTCCAGGGTGGCAGGAAATTGCTTCCATCAGTGCATGGTGCCGGGAGAGCTCACAGCTCTCAGATGGGGTCCTTCCTTCTTAAAGTAGCTTGGTCCCACCTGGGTCATGCTCAAAGGGAATGAAAGCGCAGGGCACAGAGCAAAGGGGGGCATTCTGTGAATACGAGCATTAAAATATAGCGTAAAATGATGTAATGCTGCAAAATCAGTGTGAAGTTTTAGGTGTACTTAGGTGGCAAAACACACTGCTTCCTGCTCTGCAGTGCTCCCCCCTAGCCCCGTGCTCGCAGGGCATCCAAGCCACAGCAGGAGGAGAACCATCCTTCTGGTTCTTCGAAGCAATGCCACGAGAGAGAGGAGAACGCGAAGGAGCAGTCGGTGGCGGATGTCTCGTGACAGTAAGCCATGCTGCACATTTCACCAGGAAGCAAATTCCTCTTTGCTGAAATCTATTCCAGGCTGACTCACTGACACAGCCTTCCAGTAACATGCTTTAGGAAGGGAGTACAGAAATACAATCACTCTGTGTTTTTTCCTGGCTAGTGTGCGTGATCTCAAAAGCCAGCTTTGTCTTCTTACCCATCTGGAGAGAACCACAACGGCTTAACTGGGGCTGCAGACTATTCAGAGCACAGAGGGTCAGCACAATGAAACTCATCGATGCCACAAAAGGTTAGTTTTGGAAAGCATTTAAGGAGAACAGCTTTCACAGTTCTTGAATCAAACAGCATAACAAATTAAACATATGGTGCAATCAGATGAACGATAATAGGACAGTTTTATTAGTTTCATGTTTGGAGAACATGGCCATTAAAGTAAGTTCTGACTGCATGAAGGAACATGCTCAGAGGTAACACGAGTCCCTTCCCATGTACACCTTTAATATCCTATTCCTGGGTTACAATCCCAAAAGACATTAATACAAAACATAAAAAACGGAACAGAGTGAATAGATTATTTCCTACCTTCATCTCCTCTTCCATTTCAGAGAGTTTCCGCTCCAGGGCTCGCTTCTCCTGTTTACAAGGATTCATAACAAAGATGGTCACAAGGATTTAAAAGAAAAACTTACAGCACATTTTCTTTTAAAGAAAAATAAGAGTCGTATTTCTGTAGGAGCATTCACTGAAAAGCATCTCAAAGTAACACACAGGTTACAACTAGGAGCTGATCAGATGGGACAGAGCAGCTGGTAAACCAGCAGGCGATACGTGCTGGGCCTGTTTCGGCAGATGTCTTGATCCTGAGCTCTCTTCACACCCCTTCAATGAAACTATTCCCCCACCTTTAGTGATCCCAGTTTTCAGGACTTTCTGATGTAATGTGATTTTGAGCTCTGTAGGTGAAGCCATGGATTGAACTGCACCCCACTAAAGGAGGCAATGAGAAAACTCACCGAGTCCGTCAAATAGGAAACAGTGAACAGGGAAAGGCGCCTGGAAATGCTGCTTCTCCCAGATTAATTTAGGGCTTCAAAGCTGTAAAGCTGACTGCTTTCAGTATATTTTGGAAACCGACAATGACACAGGTAGGCTCTGCCACGTGAGTACTCGTGGTGCCCTCCGTGGACAGCTAGAGCCCTTGCCTAGAGGGAGAGACCTGGACTCCATCAATGAATTTTTCAACACGGGAGGGCTCAAACCGCCCCAGGAAAGCACACTGAGCAGGAGGAAATGGCAAACGTGGGTCGGGAACAGGCTTTACACTCTCTGCCCCACTCCTTTGCCCTCTGCAAAGAAACATGAGGCCAGGAGAGTGAGGAAAACACAGCTTTTGAGTGTGGCCGTGGATGATGGGTTCTGGGCCACTTTTTGTCCACAGCACACTTCATCCAGGGATTTGTCAGTGCAAAATGCGTAAGCCATCCTGGAAACAGTTAATACCATCTTCACTGAGAACACTCAGGCACCTTTTTTTCTCTCTAACTCTCAGAAACCTGTATTTGTGGCTGTCGTGATCCTAATTCAACAAAAGTGATGCGGGACATTGCCCCAGCTTGGAAGCATCACACGGGTGGGAGGTTGGATGCGTGGTGTGAGCTCCCTCTTGTTGGGGATGTCTGCTCAGGCAAGTGCTCTGACCACCACACTCTCTTTTTTTCCCCCAAAAAAAGCTCCACCCGTGTCATGACTTCCCCCAGCAGCGATGTTCAGATGACAGTGATGGTTGCATGTTTGATAACCCCACTCAGCCCGCTTTAAGCACACCTAGGAATCAGGCCCACACGGACCATTGCTTTGAGAATCTCAGTCTCGGGGTTCAGACTGGTGCGGAGATGCTCAGCTGAGCTTACACAGCAGTGCCATGGCCTGAGCATCAGCTCAACTTCAGCAACCTTGGTTGCACCTGCACCGGTAGGTACATCACACACTTGTCCTTTGCCCTCTGCAAAGAAACATGAGGCCAGGAGAGTGAGGAAAACACAGCTTTTGAGTGTGGCCGTGGATGATGGGTTCTGGGCCACTTTTTGTCCACAGCACACTTCATCCAGGGATTTGTCAGTGCAAAATGCGTAAGCCATCCTGGAAACAGTTAATACCATCTTCACTGAGAACACTCAGGCACCTTTTTTTCTCTCTAACTCTCAGAAACCTGTATTTGTGGCTGTTGTGATCCTAATTCAACAAAAGTGATGCGGGACATTGCCCCAGCTTGGAAGCATCACACGGGTGGGAGGTTGGATGCGTGGTGTGAGCTCCCTCTTGTTGGGGATGTCTGCTCAGGCAAGTGCTCTGACCACCACACTCTCTTTTTTTCCCCAAAAAGCTCCACCCGTGTCATGACTTCCCCCAGCAGCGATGTTCAGATGACAGTGATGGTTGCATGTTTGATAACCCCACTCAGCCCGCTTTAAGCACACCTAGGAATCAGGCCCACACGGACCATTGCTTTGAGAATCTCAGTCTCGGGGTTCAGACTGGTGCGGAGATGCTCAGCTGAGCTTACACAGCAGTGCCATGGCCTGAGCATCAGCTCAACTTCAGCAACCTTGGTTGCACCTGCACCGGTAGGTACATCACACACTTGTACTGAGGGCTGGTGTGCTCTGCCTAACTCTGTCCAAAGTGGGGATCCTGAACGTCACCTCCTCCGGATTATATCTGGCAAATCCCAGGAAGAGTTTATACTAAATAATTAAGGTCTTTCATGGTACGAATTGAATTTAAACACACGGTTCGACCATCCAGCAAAGCTCCTAAATATTCAGGAGATGAAACACTTTAGGAGGAACCTCCACTTCAGGCAACCCTCCAACATGTAAGTGGGTGTTACTGAGAAATTAGAGCCAGGCTCCAGCTTTAATTAACCACTGAGGTACTGGTGGGAAGATGAGCCGTAATGGCCATCAGCTGGAGCAGGGGAGGTTCTGACTAGATGTAGGGAAACAAAAAAACCACTATGAGGATAGGTAAGAACTGGAAGAAGGGGCTGCAGCTGTGGAAACTCAACACTCAGAGGTCTTGATGAAATGATGGGACAAAGCCCTGACTAACCTGGTTGACTCTGCTGGGATGCGCTACAGATCTCCTCGGGTCCCTTCCAATCTGACCGAAGCTATGGTCACTTAAGGCAGAAATTTAGCCAGACACTGCCTGTTCAGCTTAGCTTACTGCAATGAATCTGACTGTTCAATTAAGAGGAAGGAGCATTCAAACATTCAGCTTTCAAGTATAATCACAAGACAGACACCCAGCTAGTGTTTTGCCTCGTTCCCCCCACCATCCCCAAACAGTCTTTATTTATAAGGATCAAGAATATTTTAAAGCACAATGGACCAACAGTTTCTTAGCACGATACAATACGATTCTTCGGTCTGCAGCTTCCTATTACAAAAGAAAGAAATCAGAACTAAGCTAATTTGCAAAGAGAGCAGAAAAGTCTCAGACACTGAAAAGGTCAGAACACAATTATCACTGTGCACTGCTCCACAAAGCAAAAAAATAACTTATCTTTTAATTAACACTTTCCTTCAAGAAATTACTATGCCCTGCAGAGCAACATGAGGCAAAGATTGCGACTCAGAAGAAAGCAGAGACACATACCCTTTTTTCCATCTCCAGCATGCTGGACCGGTCAGAAGTTTTCTCCTGTTTCTGCTATGTAAATTAAGAATAGAAAGCTATTAAAACCGAGAGGCGTTCACAGGATGCTGCACAAAGGCCTAGATAGCCTACAGATGCACTTGCCCGGAGAAGCAGTCTTTACAGAATCACTCACACTTATTTCTGTGAAAAATAACAGCCTCCTCTGTAGCACCTTCCCTCCCAAGAGCTAAATCCTTTCCCATGCTGGAACATGCACTGGCTTGTCGTGGGCCGGTGCTCAGTTTCTCCCATCTAAGAGGCGGTTTTTGCCTTACCTGGGCTGCTTTTTCCAACTTTGATTTGATGTCGGCCAATTCAAGCTGGGCTTCTTGCAGTTTTGTCTTCAGCTTTTGATTTTCAGACAGGGCGCTTTCATATAACTGAAATATGAAACAAAAGATTTCAGTTAACCAGGCTGCTCTTCGGCCGCTGCACAGACCCAGTTCTGCTGCACTACTTGAGCAGATGAGTGTCCTCAGCACTGAGCAGAGGCAGCTGCGGGGTTTGCTTCGCTCCCCCATGTCAGGCTATTAGAAGAAGGGCAAACAGAACTAGTTTGGATACTTTATTAACGTTTTCATAATTCACATGAAATAAGACAACAGCTGTTTAATTTTGTAGGGTGTTTTAAATTTAGGTAAACCACCAAGCATTATGAAGTACTAAGTTACGTATGCTGGATGTATCTGAACCTGTGATTCTGTTGTGCTCCCCAACACAACACAGCCTACTTGCTCTTCTGTGCTTTTAGTTTGAAGAGGAGGAGAAAGAAGGACAATTTTAGGCCACTCCAAAATGGATCTTTTCCCCTTCACTTCCTTCAAACAAGCACAATTACCATCCCTCTAAGAGGACAAACTGGGCGTACTGCCTGCCTCTTCTGGCCAGACATGTTCATGAAGAAGAGTGGGGTGCTGCTTATCGCGCGAGGCTTTTCAGCATCATAGTAATTTCAGAATTAAGGTCATCTTAATCTGTTTACTTCTCATATGGTCTTTACATTGATACTAGATGTGCGTGGCAGTCCATATTCCTGCCTTTCAAGGATTATGTTGAAAGTTTCAGAGATTATAGAAAAAATAATTCTGGAATGTTATAGCAGCAAAAATAATGCTGCGCTTGAGCCATGCTGGCATGCTCAACAGCATCTTTTCTTGCTCCTTTCAAATCCCTCCCAGCATTTCTCCAGCCTGGCTCCTCAGTCCCCCTCCCCCAGATATCTGACTTTGCACAGTGTCCTTTCACCCCTTGTCCTTTTTCGACGCTCTGAAGGGCTGATGCATTCGAAAAAGGCTGGTGTGACTTCCAAAAGCAATGGAAACAGAGAAAATAAAAATAAACTTTTTCTCTTTCTTTCCAAAGACTCTCAGTGCAGGTTTCTGCAGCAACAGGCAGCTTCAAAGGTGCATGCAGTGACAATAATACATTTAAAAAACCCTACTTTTTTATAGTCCCTGTTACTCTCCTCTTCTGCTCTGCTGCTGAGGGCGGCTAACCGGTTCTCCCTCCGGGTGTAGGCACTGGAGCGGCTGGAGGCACGATCGCTGTAGGAGGAGTCACTGGTGGTAGGGTTCGTAGCTGCTTCCAACCTAAAACACGATGAAGATCTAGCACCGTGGAGCCGCTGTTACTTTGGGACAGCCAGTATCAGCCTGACCGGTTGCGACTCGGGGCCGTGGCAGACCCGGCTGCGCACAGGCGCTGGGGCGGCCGAGAGCACCCTCCACCCCGCAGCAGGGCATCGCTGCCGAAGGCAGGCAGCCATCACCCTTTTAAAAACTGGAAGAAATCCAGTGGGTATCAGCCCAAACCCCAAATGGGCAGTAATTTCCCATGGACCTCTCGTCTTCATGGTGGGAATGGGCTCCACTTCTAATAGCACACAGAGGTTTTTTTTTTCTCTGCAGAGTAGCTGTTAAATAATTTGGGGAGCAAAGGATGAAAGCAAACTGGCCCAACAGTTGAGCTAAGGTAAAAACCAAATGGCCAGTACCAGCTTCAGCTTATGCTGTTGATTTGAAGCACAGGGAATCCCCAAAGCCATACAAAAATATGCTGTCAATAAATATTAAATAGAAAAAACTCCAAAAAATAAAATTCTTACCTGGAAAGTCTTTCATGCTGAAGGGAAAAAAGAAGAAAGAAAAAGGGAGTTAATAACGAGGAGAATTAAAGGTTCAATGCAAGAACTGCAGAGCTACCACACAGCAGCAATTTCCTACCTCTGATACCAGCACCTAGATCACAACAAGCTAAACAGCATTATTTCCCATGCCCAAACTGGGAATCACCGATCCCTGCCTGAATCTTTTCAGCTGCTTCAGCTTCTCTGAAGCATTTCAGATTTGATTTCTTTTGCTAACCTAAAAACTACTGAACCTTGTTCTTCAAATCCTAGTTTCCAGAATTGAAATCCATTCCTTTGAACCAAAACTAATCTATTGTTTCCCTTTTTAAATCAAATTATTCTTCCTGACTTTGATCACTGTCCTATGCATGATGTGGGTGAGAGTGATTAACGGACCATGATACACAGAGCTCACTGTGTATTTGTGTTGAACTTCAGGAAATCACAAATAGTACTTTTTGTCCATGGGCAAGTACCTCCCCCACGAAGAAAAGCTTCACCGTGGCAAGATGATACACAGCAGAAGCTGGACGAGGGAGGGAGAGGAGCCTTACACCAGCCAAAAGGGTGGACATGTTGGTTGAAGCATGCGTTAGGTTCTTCTTTCCCCATCAACATCCAAATCACCCCTGTGCCTTCCTCAACGATGCCTTTGCTGTAGGCCACAATTGCAGAAATCAAATGGTAATGGCATGGGTGTCCTGCAGGATACACCGCACTGACCTGCCACCTCCTTCTCCGCAAGGTTTCTCTTTGTCTGGCAGACGTTTACTCAAATTCAAGGTGCAGCTGAACTCTTTTTCAGTCCCTTGAACTGGAAATTGAGCCCAACATTCCCCTGCTAGTTTCATTAGCAGCATCATTTCTCTGAGTGAGCACAAACCACCTGCAGGTGCTACCAGTTATTCTCCTAGATCCTTGTTAATAAGTGAAAGAGTCAACACAAGAAGGATGTTACAGAGAAGATGAGGGGTCAGGCTTTTAGTGCCCAGACATGCTTATGTTGGAGTTTGCGCTGCCTAGATACACCACTAAATCTAGTGCTAAACACCTTGCTGGGTGACAGATTTGCTGCCTGTCTGACACCCCAATGTTTGAAGAACTCAGACCTCCTGCTCCTGCCTGGCACCCAGACGATGCCTCTGATCACTGGGCAGGTATCTGGGAGCACACACACCACGGACAGTTGAATTAAGTCACCCTATTACATGGACAAGGAGGGTAGACAAGCAACCCTGCAATCTCTCCGCTCAAAGCCAGAGGACCACAGGGGCAAGTCCCAGAGCAGCACGGACTGCGCTCAGCCTGCCTGCAACGCTGCCCTCTGCTCGCCAGGATGCAGGGATCCGGCTAACGTATTACGTATACCTAGTTATTAAGTTTTTAATTCAGCCTGCCCTAATGTAACCCTCATCTTGAATCCTGATTCATGACAGGAGCCTCCCAAGGAATCTGCAATCCTCGCTCGCTCTGCCACACAGCCCTCCGATGTGAGACGCAGTGATTTGACCAGTAAACAAGAAACAAGAAACAAAGTAAACAAGAAACAAACTGAAGAACCCCAGCACATTTGAAGCCTCGCGGATGGACAACACGTTCAGCCAAAGCTGCTAAAGGCAAAGCTCAAAAGGACAAGCAAGCCCTGCTATTAATTAGCACGTTCTCCCTAGAGCTGCGCCCGCAGGGCCACCCTCCACCGGGCTCCCGGGGCAGGTCTGGGTGCCAGCCCTGTGCTGTAGAGATGGTCACCAAAGCTCCAGGAGCCCATCCCGGTGCTGGCATGAGTCTTGAGCCATGGCAGCAGGTCCAGCCCCATATTATTTTATTTGCTCTAACCCTCTCTCCATGCACCAAAAGCTTTCTTTGCATCATACAGGTGAGAAACCACCCAAGGGAGACAGCGGACGGCTTTCCACCATAGCTAAGCCCCGCTGCACTTCCACAAGCGATGCTGGATGCTGTCTGGGAAGCTTCTCATGGGGCCAAATGGCCGGCAGCTGCCTGCCGTTGTCACAGGGACATCTGCCTGCTTGTCCAAACAGCCGTGGCTTGGGCCACTCTCCGTAGGAAGCTCGAAGCCAGTAAGTTGGGAAGCAGTTTCCGTACGGCTGGCCTCTGGTGCGGGGCTATCATTAGAAAGATTTCCCTTTTTCCGCTGCAAACACGCTGGCTGATGTCTCCACGGTCTTTTGTTAGCAGAGCTTCTGACATTTGCCTCTTAAAACCCTCAGCTGCCTGACTGGTCCCTTTTAATTTTGACCCAATGACCCAGCCTCCCCTATTGAGCGGGAAAGGGGAATTAGGAAGTGATTAACAAGCCTCTTGGTGAAAGTTATTTGTGCGCTTTATGCTAATCCCCTTCAGTGACCACTTTTCTCACGATGACAAATGGCTAGGCAAGTAATCCACTTAATATCAAGCTTGCGTTTATTTCAACAAACGCACCTGCTAATGTATTTGAACAGCGCTGAGGAAGTCCACACGCGGCTGGGCAAGGCAATGTGGAAACCAAGCAATAAAACCTGAGCAGGTCCCCAAGCCAGCCTGCATGCTTGCAGCAGGAGGGAAAAATAATTTTTGTCTTTTTTTTCCTCCAAAGAAACTAATAATTTCCACAGGCAGAGAGAGCAGGGGTGTGCTTCTGCAAAGGAAGGGTGGGATAAGAAAGGAATCACTTTAAACATAGCTGCTGGGAACAGCAAAGGGGACACCCCCCCCCAGGTTTACTGTATTTAAAACCTTCCTGTGATGGATACCGAGATGAATTGTTTCAGGCTGCAATTGTCTCCAAGTCTCTAAAGAGGAAGAGAGATACTTGATGAGACGGGAGGACCTGCGAGCATCATTCCTGCCGCTGCTGCCGGCATTAGAGCAGAGCAATCCCGCAGCGACCTGCTGCCACCCCCAGCACGCGGCAGCTCCGGGACTTCTCCAGCCAAAATCTGGATATTCTTAGTGCTCAGTGATTTCTCCTCCTGCAACTTTGTCTCCCTTTGGGCTCATTTAAAGCACATCTCTGTGCCACAAAACGAGTCCAGTGTCTTGCAGAAACAGCACGGAGCGACAGGAAATCTCTGTGTTCGCAGCTGTTGGGAAAGCTGGTGTCTTTCCCTCACGCTTCAATTTTCGGGTGCCTCTCTCCATGTTGTTTCAGTTAAAAATGGTATTTTTGAGACAAAGGTGATTAAGTTTGAGAGGAACTGGATAAAGGCTGAGGTCTGGAAAGCAGAGCCTGAACGAGATGTTACAGCAGCTGTTGGAAGTGTCCCTGCCATAATGAAAGTTGCAGAACAGTTTTCATCAGTGGATCAGTCTTCTACTTGCTGCTACCTTCAGAGAAGGAGGGCAGATTTATTTATTTTGCTTTAAATCAATTTCTGGCTCAGTATTTTCCTGGGTTTTGCACAAAGGCCAGTGTTTGCGCTGATATTTCAAGGAGCAGCTTATTCAGGTGTTTCTTTGGATTTTTTTTTTTTTTTTTTTTTAATTTATGATGGTGG